AAGCATTATTATCGATGCTTAGCCATATTTCTGATCGATTGGTGATAAAATTATTGAAATTGGACCAGAGGCAGCTGAGTTATTATCGTTCAAAATCTTTCTAAATTTGTTACATGTTCCATTTTCGGTTTTCACAAAGTGTACCCCCATATAGAAATCAAAGACGTAGTCCTACGTCAAAAAAAAACTGGAAATCCATGCCTTTAGCGAAAGTAGTTTGAAGATAAATATTCACTTACTTTATCGCAGGGATTTTATATAGTTTTGATTAAATTTTACTTTAAGTTTAGATCTGTCGTCTTACCCCGTAGGGGATTCGGCGATTTCACTTGAACTTTTAAAGCTCCGAACCGGCGCGTGGTGGATGGAAGACTAATCAGTAGAATATTTCAGTGCTAACATTTGAAAACGGCACAAAAGCCATTTGTAAACAAATGGTTTGTGGGCCCTTTACTCACTACTTGAAGTACACCCACGCGACACAACAGCAACATCGGGTAGGGGAAATTTTCCCTTCCTGACGATGCTGTTGGTTTGCGTGGGCGTTCTTCGGGTAGCGAGTAAAGGGCCCACAAACCATTTGTTTACAAATGGCTTTTGCGCCGTTTTCAAATGTTAGCACTGATTTGTTCTTTCGCCGTCAGAGGCTTTGCTTATCACTTTTGGAATTGTGTGATGTAAATGGAATCATCCTGCGTCAAGCTTTTCTTCTGTAATAATGAGATGAATACGCAAATCAGCGATGCCTAATACTACAGTACCTGTTCGCTAACTGGGCGTTCTTTAACTGGCCTGTAGCCCAGTTAAAAAGCAGTTATACGCCGAAAAAAGACGTCACATTTACTTTGACACTTCGTTATCATAATTGGTGAGGGGCATTCGAATGGAGCATTAAGTGTTAATATAAATACATTTGAAATTACACACTGAAACCAAGACTTTAAAGCATTATTAGCGAAAGCGTTAAGCCTTTCTAAACTCGCGAGTTTGAATGCCGTGAAAATAACAATAGCGAACTTTACACTGTTTATATTCAATGCAAGTGATCTTTTTAAACGTCGATCAAACAATGCATTGAACTTCCCCTCAGTGTTTTTTTGGTGTTTGACAAGCCAGCCCAGTTAGCGAGTGGAATAATTCGCTAACTGGCCTGCGCTTTTAGTCCAGTTAGCGAACAAGTACTTTCTCTACATTGAGATCACAGAGAGGTTAGTTTTGTTGTATATTTAGGCAGAACGTGTCATTAAATAGAGGGTATAGCTCGAGGAAACAGTCAGACAGTCAGTAAATAAATTTTAGATTTTAACTCTCAAAATTCCATGAAACTTCGCATAATTGTTCGCTAGGGGCAATGAATTAAGTTTGTGCTGGAATTCGTACATTTTGGCTCACGTTTAATTTTAATAATGGCGTATTTGATTTCATCTCATCGAAATGGCTAAGCAATAAAGAATTATCATTATATTGAATTTTTTACCGTGCATATTTTTCCTTAAAATGAATTATTTTTTCCTACAACATTGTATCAGAGTTTTGGTTTGTTGAAAAATATTAAATACACCATTGTGAGTTTGTTTTGAAAAATTCAAAATGACCGAATTTTAGCTCAAATGTGAATGATTATCCATAACAATCAATTAGGCAAAATTCTAGGACTTAATCATCAAGAATCTGTAATTTGGTATTTTAAAGGTTCTAGGATTTTGAACATTATTAAGTGTATGGATAATCATTCAAAATTCTGGGATATTAATTTGTTTAATAATTTTCGGCACACAAATTTCTTATTTTAATCTAGCTTCTAGCTTCTAGCTTCGAAAAACTTTCACAATTCTACACTGAAAAATATTTTCGCCTAGTTTTTATTAGGAACGCACATGATATTTTTCCAATAACAATATTAATAATTTCAAACGTTCAGCAACACTTACATAATTTAAAAGACACTGCATTTCGTTTCGTGTGAAATGAACATGGATATTTTCCACTGGTTGTGTGATTTATTTTACGAGTGTAGGAATTAGATACATTTTCATAGCTTGGGCAATTTTTTTTTTTCGAGGCTAGATATCATCTATCACTGGAAAATTTTTAACAATTTCCAACTGAAAATTTTGTATGATCATAGAATGTTTTTTTTTTAGATTTCGGAATTGAAAAATAATTTAAAATTAAGTAAATATTAAGAAAAATAATTCAAAATTAAGTAGGGTTCGGCCTAATCGCCGATTTTGGATCTATCGAGCAAAATACATCACATATTTCACTTATACCACTCACTTCGCTTTAAAAAATGTTTTTCGATATTATGGAATCATTGGATGCTATAATGATATTTTGTACTTTTCAGATACAAGAAAAGGTTGGATAGCATGTAATTTGACACAATTTCGCTTTCAGTGTGTCACAATCAGCGAATTGATGACTCGTGAGCGTTCACTCAGAGTGAGCGCTCACGAATCGTTAAATCGCTTATTGTGACGCACTAAAAGCAATAATGACAGGTTTTATGTGTCAAACACCTAGTTTACAACCTTTTCTTTTAACTTACAATTACTCATTACACTAGTTTACAAATAAAAGTAAAAAAATGAACTTGAATCTTTTCCAGTGATTCTTATGTAAAATTTTTATTTTACGAGGGTTCTGTAGACCATGATTTAGACTTGTAGAATGCTATAAAACCGCGATAAAACCTGCAATGTTACTTGGGTAGTTTTCAAGGTACAGCTAAAAAATTAATATTCACTTTAAAAAAGTTTGTTTACTAAAGTAAAATATCTCCGGTTGTAATGAGACTGTATCAATTATTTTAAGACCAAATTAAAGGTAAGAAAATCAACTGAACATCAATTGTCAGTAAGATTAGTGGTATTGTTGTTAATTAATAGTTTGTTTGTTCTTTTTTTATATTTTGCATTTTTCTATGAAAAATTTAATTTCTGATAAGTTTTTAAGTAGTGCAAAAAAATGTTTGTAGTGGTTGAACCACTAATCTCACTGAAAAATGGCATTGAAACGATCGAAAGCAAATTTGATCACCTTTAATTTGGTGTTAGCATAATTAATATAACTTCATTGCAACCGGAGATATATGTATTTTAGTAAACACATTTTTTTAAAGTGAAATTTCAATTTTAAGCTGTATCTCGAAAACTATCCTACTGAAATATTTTTGGAATACATTTTGGGATTCAGCGCACGATTTTACATGGTAAATGACCATCAGCGTACAAAGTTCAAATGTGCTTTAAACTAGTGTTATCATTATAATATCTAATTATTTCATAATTCCGAAAAATAATTTGCTATTGCAAGTGAGTGAAAGCAACCCTGCATATATCCATGATTTCGGCGTTAAAGAGTTAATCATACGCTACCATATAAAGTCTGCATGAACTCATGGCAGGGTTAAGATCTAATTTCCGTCATACTAAGCACAACTCGCAGGATCATGTTTTAACAAATAATTGAATGTTTCTATCAATTTTATCTAATTTTATTTACCTTTCCATACGTAGGGGTAAGAGGGGCATAGTGAACATCCCGTGTACCAGCTTGAACTTCCGGCCGTTCGGAACAAATTGGTTGGTGGTAGGATCAATATCATAATGATATTGACCACATTACCAGTTGATTTGTTTCATGCAGCTGGAGATCCAGAGCCAAACTGCGGGATGCTCACTATGTCCCCCTCCCCCTACCCTTAGGTTTTACAAAGAGTAACAAATTGATGAAATTAAAATCTAAAATCCCTTCTTGAATCCAATTCCGTCATAAGAGTTTCAATTTCGTTAGGGAGACGCCCCCTCCCCCTTTAGTCAAGTTTTTCCTATACGCAAGGTTGCTGCCATTCATTTGCTATAAAAAAAATTTATTCTGAATTACGAAACCATTAAATGTTATAATGATATTTTGTACATATAAGTTACAACAAGAGGTTGAGAAGCAGTGTTCGATTCCCGGTCCGGTCGAGGGAAACTTTCGGGTTGGAAATTTTCTCGACTTCCCTGGGCATAGAGTATCATTGGTATTGGCATCGAAAGCTCTCAATTAATAACTGTGAAAGTGCATTTAGAACACTAAGTTGAGAGCACGCAATTAGCTAATATACACTAAGCAATAAGCTTGAAATGTGAATAAGAAGAAGTTGAGAAGCATGCGTTCGACACATGCAACCTGTTAATTTCGTATTTAGAGAGTCAGTGATCGAGAAATTTTAGACCCCCCTTCATACCAATGGTTTCTAATTTGTAAAAAGCTGATGTAAATTGTCAAGAAAATGTATTTAATGTACGCTAGGTCCAGTTAAGCAGTATTACATACATATTTAGACGATTCGGATTCAAATGTTGACATGTATAATTCTTCGTAAAGTTCTTTAACATGGTTGCTTGCTTATCCTGACAATGCATATAGAATTACACCATCAAAATAACTATGCACCGTCAAGGTTCAATAAACAAATCTCGGGACAGCTGCATCGAAACTACCAAAAACCGGCACACATGCCAGTTTGAACATATAAATCTTTACCCAAAAAGTATAAAAGAACGGCTCATTTTTTTTTGTTCTTCCTAGAAACTCGTAACTCATGCATGTGCATTCTTCCAGCAAACGAATGGCAAGGAGGAAGAAAGTACATACATAATCTCGTATGCTACGAACGTGATGTGTATTCAACAGGCTTAGCATGTCTTCCACCCATTACATAACACGCCTGTACCGCATGTTAGGCGTTAACGAACCGGGAACCTCTCTGTTCAACAAAAAAGCAATAAGTCCAGTCAATGGAACGCGTTAGAGAACACACTTGTTGCCGCCTAGAACCCGATCTAGGGAACTTGGCACAACAACAAAATAATCCAAGGGTAGGACATGGACTGTACGATATATACAGTTTTGCCTTCTCCTGCTTGTCGTCACCTTCTCAAAAAGGGGTCGGTCAGAGTTTTTTTTCTTCTTGCTCAACCTTGAAAACGAGTTTATTTGAATCTTACATTTCGAGTCGTCATCGTTCACTAAAACAATAATCTAAACTGCCTTTCGAATGTCGTTTTTGCAAAATTGTTAACCGATTTGATTTATCAATGCCACACATTCCTTCATGCGCTATCAGTAAACACTTGAAGAATCATCTCGCAGTCTTCCTGCATTAATTCTTCACTTTCATCATCGCCATTTCTTCCGATTCTTACGAATTCAACAAATGCACTATCACTTTCACTACCTATTATTATATTGAAAAATAGATAACAGCTGAATGCGTTTTTTTTTAAATTTCAAACCACAAAACCAACAGAGATTTCCGATAAATAGGTCAACTAGCGCGTGGCGGTCAATCACATTACTTAGTATTACAGAGGTGACGCGTTTGCAGTTGTTCGCGGTTCGACGAGAACTGATTCTTGCTCTTACTGTGTGTGACGACGGAGACGGCGGCGAATAACCCGCGCTCCTACATACCAACATATTATTGGATGCGACTCTCGGGAGCCATCCCACCGGCGGTAAATGGAAGTGCCCGTACCAAACGTAAACAGTGTGTTTCGCTTCGTCGTTGGTATGGGAAGACCGGTTTCGAAGGTGGTGGTTTTCTTAATGCAATTTTCATAAATGTTGGTTTAGCATCGGCGTATGTTGGTTTTAGTGCCACAGGCCGGTGTTGGATTGTGTCTGACAGACGGGTGATACACGGAAAATTTATGCTGTACGAATTGATGGATATACAGTATTGAACAAAAGTATATCACCTCTTATTTATTTTTGACGTAGGATTACGTCTTTCGGCAACATATTGTGGGTGCAATTAAAAAAAACCAAAATCGACCGCGTTACGAAAAGTGGTGAGGTTTTGACCACATATAACTCTGTCAATAGCGGATGGATTTTAATTATAAACAAGCCAATTGTATGGAAAATTTTTACGAATCTGCTTAAATAAGCACTTTATCACTTTTCAATAGGTCACTTAAAAAATAGGTTAAAATCGAATTCCATCCGGTCTCGCCGAACGGTGCTTATTTAATCAGCGTGTGTGGTAGTGTCCGGTCGGTCGTCATCAGCAGCAGCAGCAGTGCTTTCGGCGCATGGCGTTGAACATTGTTCTCCAATACACAACGAAAGGCTGTCCGCAATTTTTTTTTCAATGTCTAGTTTCCTTAATGTTCTAGACTAGAAGAAACAATGTCGAGAATTTATATTATATCGACATTTAATCGATAGCATTATAAGCCGTCTTCAGGTTCTACAAATTGGCCAAGGGTTCAGAGATTTTTGTTTAACCTCAGGGAACTTCGCAAACCTTCAAACACTTCTAAGAAGGTCAGGGAACATCGTAGAAATTAACGAAACTTAGTTGAAATTCTGGGAACTTCATAGAGCTTCAGAAGAAATCGTAGAAACTCAACGAGCTTCGGAAAACTTCAGAAAACTGCGTAGAAGTGGAAACTCTATTTAAGTTTTTGGATCTTCGTAGAAGTTAAACATTATTTAATTTCAGGGAAACTTATTATTGTTTGGGGATCTTCATAAAATTTTAAGATACTTTTTGAGCTTAGAATAGTTCAGGGAATTATGTACAAGTTCAATAAATTCCATACTTGGAACTTTGCGGAAAATAAACGAGAAACGTAGAAATGCAGTAAACTTTGTAGAATTTTTGAAAGATTCGTAGCATGCTGAGAAGTTCAAGATCTCAAGATCTTCAGGGATCCTCGTTTCAGATTAGGCAACTTCGTTGCAGTTTGTCAGAGATCTTACTTCAAAAAAGCTCAATGAACTTCTTAGATGTTTTGGGAACTTCGTTAAATTTCAAGGATCTTTCCTGATGTTCAAGAATATTTGCAGATTATGGGGGTCTTTCCAGAAGTTCAAAGGAGTTCAGATATTTCCGTAGAATTAAGAGCGATGGAAAAAATATGGAATTTAGAATAAATTCAGGGATCTTCGTAGAAGTTCAGGAAATTTTGTAAAACTTAGGGGGGTTCTGTAGATGTTCAGGGAGGGTTGCATAAGATACAGGGTATTCTCACAGACATGCTTCCTAGACAACAGAAAATATTAAAAAAAAAAATCTCCAGATAGACGAAGATAATAGCAAAGTTCTTTGGATATGTTTTCAAGACTTCAGGTTGACAGTTAGAAAGTACAAATGACGTCTCTCATATATTCCTCCATAACTGCAGGTTGATCATAACGAATTCGAAAGTACTCCAGCTAATCGAATCTGATGGAATCTTGAATGATGAATCTAGATTGTATGGACATGTTTGTACATTTTCTATAGGTAAGACCCGTTCCCTGCCCGAGCAAAGCTGTAGATCAAATTGAAATCAAAATTTGCTGTTATGATGTAACTTATTTTGAATACTCCAGTTGATCTCATTTTGGTTGACTTAACGGTTAACACAGCAAAAATGAGAGCAAAATTTTACACTGTTGAAGCAAACGAAAAACTAATGCTGCTTTCAATGAAATCAATTTGATTACTGATTTTGCATTCATAATGTTCAACTGAATACGGGCCTGGAGTAAATGGTTACCATTCATGTTTCTCAAGCTGAAAGACTTGGGCTCCAATCTCACCCCGGGCAAGTCACGAATGACCTAAAATGTGTTAAACAAATCAAATAAATAATACTAATGACAGATGAAATTCAATTAAATTTTAAACAAGACGTAAACAGCAGAACTTTAAGTTAAGTTGCTTTCATTTAAAAAGTCTTGACTGCATAATGAAAGCACAATATGATATCAGACATATGTCGCAACATTTGAAATCAAAATGAGTTTTCATTATGATAGGAACTGCACACTTTAATATCGATTTGCTTTCATTTTGTTAACCGACTTTGCTCGGGTGGTTAATTACCTATTTTGTCAAGAATTACCACTCAAGGATAGTTTGGATGGTTTAGAAATTTAAATAAAATTTCCGTTCTTTAATGTATATATTTTTTGATATAAAAACTTCGAAAAAGCTGGTACCGAATGGGCTCAACCAAGCCTAACGCCATTTAAATTAAGAATAAAATAATCCAATAAGCCTGAAAACACAACTCACATACACACACACTATCTATACACGTATCTAGTTACAATCAAGGGCACAATCATGCAAGTTTGGAGTTAATTAATTTCGATTGAAATTTAAGTTAAATTTGGGACTTTAATCTTGATTTATATCTAACTCCGTGATTGAGAAAGTTATTTAGTCGGATGTATCGAAAAAAAATGTGGATAAATGGTTTATAATTTTTATTTTTCTTCAAACATTAGTATCCGTACATTCGAAAACCGGTAGGTAGGGGAAATGGCTCTAATGTTGGCCTATGGATCTAAGATTGGGCCCATCGCTAAAAATCTGCTATTTATCAATTGTATCTAGATGAACGCGTCATTGGGACGGTACTAATGGATATTTTTGGTTGCTATTGAAAATGTAGTCGATTGCGGAATTTATGTATGGTTCCAAATTAGGGACACTTAGGCTGTCATTACATACATTATAACCTGATTTTTCATTATATTCTATGACTAAGATGCAAGATTTTTCGAAATTTTAACAGCCTAATATAGTCTTACATTCTTATCTCGAAGCATTTTGCTCTCGATATGAATCTAGGTAAGTTTCCCAAGATCTTTAATTACGATTACGAAATCATCAAGGCTGCAAGATTGTAGTGGGTGGGACATGTTGTTATTCAAATGGGAGCTGGGTACCGGAGATTTATTTTAGTGAAAGGTTTGCCTCAAATTCGAGCACATCCAGCAAATAATGCTTTGAATTATCGTCAGAATATTCTTTGATTTCTATTCTGGACGCTATTGGAACCACTTTGGATGTTTCATTAGAATTCATTTTAAGATTCAATCCTAATTTATTTGGAATTTTATTTGAAACTAACTTGGAAATTATTCCAGAACTTCCTTGGCATCAGGATTCATCAAGGGCTGCTCAGAATTACCTTGGAAGCTATCCTTGGATTTCACTTGAAGTTCTCACAATTACCTTTGAAGTCCTCAGAACTAATATGGAGTTCCATTGAGAACTCCTATGAAATTATGTGAATAGTTCGGGAAAGCTGAAGGGATTTTTTTTTCTACACGGTCAATGAGAACGACCCAAATTAGAGTTTAGTATACTCAAATATCACATAAAGTGCAAGAGCTCAGCGATGAGTAAATTTGCCTCATGTTTTTCCAGGTTTGACCAGAAAAAAGATCCCGAATATGAGAAAAGTAAAGATTGGAATCACTCAGTCTATTGATACTAGGGTTTTTGATCTAATTTCCGTCCTACTAAGGACATCGCGCACTTTACCACGCTTTTTGGAAAGGGTTTGAACAAAACATGGAATGTTTTCATCAAAGATAACTTCTAAATTTATCCACCTTTCCATACGTACCGTTCGGTTCGATAAAGAGTTAAACAATGTTGAGATATTATTAAAAATCTAATACTGCTTCTTGCTTCTAAATTCGTTCTACGCGTTTCAATTCCGTCCAAACGCATTGAAACGCCATTAGATTTTCTTCGTCCTACGGATAAACGTAGAAAAAGGGGATGCGCTAGGAACGCTTCTTTTGTTTTGAGAACAATGAGCGTAAATATGCATACAATGCGCTCTAATAGGATTTATGTTGTAGCTAATGAACTAACGCATCGGAACAAACGTATTATTGTTTTGTGCATTGTGAAATCATTGATATTATTGATGATTTCTGCTCGATAGAACGGAAATGGGAGATTACGACGAAGTAGTGCTCTTCCCTACTCCTAGACTGACTTAAATTTTTGTTAATTTTCTTCATTTTACGGCAGATTTTTGAGTTTTTTTACTCATCGCTTTGTTCCTGCACTTTTGGCGATTATGAGTAAACTAAACTCAAGTTAGTGTTATTCTAATTGGTCGTGTGCATATTGAATTCCTATCCTTAGAGAATTGTCTTTATATTTGCCCTAGAATATTTAGAAATTTCCACTGTAGTCCCACAGTCTTAATGATTGAACTTAATTTAAAATCTCAATATATAATCTCAAGTCACCATATTTATTTAAGTATAAAAAAAATCTAGAACAGTTTCAAAGTTCAATCTTTGTTTTTTATTCATCCAAATAGTCCATTTATGATTCTGTAACTCAGTGAAATTTAAAATATCAGAGAAAATTCATCTTGGTCTTA